AAGTCCCGAACACATCATTTCATACATTACTTTAATAATCTTGCCAGCAACCCTTAGCAACGAAAAAATAAAAATCAAAGAGCATAATAAAGCACATGCATTTCAAACAGAAGCATGTGTTCACAAAAATACCTAGTACGGATCACAATTGTCCAAATCTGAGCCTATAAAACCAACAAATGACTAATTTGTTCCCTGTTTGCATTCTACTTCTCTCAATATATGGATGTTTGCATCTCCACACGCAAGACGGGTTGCACATGAAGGAAGGTGTGGAAAGTTTGACATACATTGTTGGGCCAATTTCCTAACATCTTAAGCTTTTGGAAAAATTGGTGATCTGACATAGCAATATTGTTATAATGACCACATTTTTAACCATCTTATATGGTATCATTGCGTTGGTTTAAAGGGCCGCACCAGTCATGTCTGATACCAACGCAACAATGACACATGCGATGGTAAACACTTTAAGGTACACAAATGTGGTCATTGTGGCATTATTGCTAGGAGAGTCTTGAATTTCTAAAACTCATGCAAACACAGCCTGAAGTTTCTAAAGCTCAATCCACTGAATTAAAAAACTACGAAGATTTCTATATAAGTTGGGTTTTACCTAACATTATAAGGCCCATGTACATTTGTGTTCAGCAAATCTTGAGATCACCAAAATATCATTACTCATAAAACCAAATCAAACTGTACCAGCGACATACTAAATGGAAAAATACATAATAAACATTCAACCTAAAATTTTGACTAGACAAGGTCTGAAGTATTCTCCAGTCTTTTCTTGTTATCATGGTCCACATCAGTCAATGAAGTGACATTTTCCATCTTGCCTTAATGTGGTTTTGTGGACAGACATTTAGTTGGAAAAATCAAAAAAGTTTTTCTTTATGATGTCAAAAATTATTCTCTCAAGCAGATTATTACATTAGCTTGTAATATTTTAGAGAAATTTTCTAGTTAATTGGCAGTGCCCAGAGCCATGTTGCCTCCAAAATGACATCAATCCTCAAGGACAATAAATATATTTGCAAGCAGTCAAATCTCAGACATCATACAGCTTGCGTCCCAAAGATGTAGAGGTATATGAGCCATAAACTAGATGAGAAACTACAAGCTACACAAGAAATGAGGCTACAGATGATGTTGTCATAGATCTCCACAAAAGCATAAAGATCCCTCAATCAAATCATAACAATCAAATTGTTGAAACCAAATCTCAGATAAACAATTTTTTCTAAAACTCATGCTAAATATATTCTTGGACCAGCCAATGTGTGGCACGTAGTTTGTCAGATGGCTTTTATTAATGCTCAGCCCCAAGCTTGGTTTCACATAAAAAATCCTCCTATTAATTATATAAATTTGGGAGGAATAAGTTGCCCTTTCTCCTTTTACTGTCTAGTGCACACATCCTTTTTGGGTGAGGAAACAAGCACCAAACGTAAAACTAGTATAGCAACTTACATGCATTGTATGAGTCTTCCCACTGCTAGTGACACCGTATGCAAATACAGTACCTTCAAAATACATTGTTGATCGTAGAATGAATACATTGTTGACATTGTGGCAAATGTTACTATGGTTTAGTGATTTTCCATTATCAGTTGAACTAGCATGAGGCGTCATCATTAATTTATAGATCCCCCAAGATGATCTAGAATTAATATCAAGCATAATTCCAGCAAAAATGGATGAAGTTATACAAGAAAGCACTAATGGATAGTTCTTTTCAACCAAAAAAAACAAGAAGCAGGGAGAAAAAAGGTTTTCAGAAAATGACCACAAAGATAGAGGATACTATTAAGAGATTATCATGGTAAGGAAATATAACATAAGGGATTGGGGAATGATGAGAATGTGTTTATAAGAAAGGGAATAGAGATGAACTGCAAATTAACTTCTTAATTTAGAGCCAATTCCCTTGCAAGCAGGTGTCTTTTAACATGTTACAGCCTATTTCCTTCAAGAACATACTTATTTTTCCAAACTATTATGCTTAGCAAATGTTCCACGTTATAGTTTATTATGAAGAGGACAGAACTCTAGCAACAATAGTATTTGATTGATATGGAAGTCTGGTTAAAGAGGAGAAAACATTGCACCAAAAGGATGTATAAAAGGGGCGAAATGGATATTCATGTCATGTCAAAGAAGTCACAATAGAATAATGTTTGCAGTAACAGAAAAGAGTTGCAGACATCTCCTCACTTGTTTCTCTCATTCAAAACCGTGCATGAGACTTTCATCTCACACTGCTCCTAAGTGATAAAACAAAGAACTCGTCTTCTTTCTTTTTTGATTACCTTCCTAACGAATGTATAATAAGACCAAAGTCATTCAATTTCTAAAAAAGATTACCAATCCTTAAATACTGGTGTGCAAATACTGGTGTGTGTCACATAAAAAAGAAACAAACCTGGATAACACAGAGAATATCAGGGAGGTGATTTTTGGACTCATCAACAGGACCTGCATAGAGTTCAATAAATACATTAGGCATTAAGGGAGGGAGATAGACAAGCATTAATGGATAGCAAACATAACAAGTAATATACCAAGTAACACAAATAAGTGATGCGCTGGAGCATCCGCCATTAATTGTAGATCATTTGGAGAATTTTTGTAGTGCGAAGCAACATAGAGGGGGGAGATTTGTTATACTATGTTGCAAAACCTCGAAAAGATTTTCTTCCACCAAAAAGCGACCTTTAAAAAAATTCAGCATACTATGGGTACTATACTGTAGCTTCGCCAGGTATCAATGGCACCAAAAACTTGGCAGAGCTAATAAGCAGATATTGCAGCAGTCATACAATGAGGCATGGGGTCCTGGGGACTCATTTGATAATGAGACAGATCAAACTAGATGTGTCACATGATAATCAAAGGGAGAAAATTAGAAGTAACTATATCACACAACCTAAATCAGTGACATTAATTGAAATTCTAAAAAAAGCAGTATGAGATCCCAAGTCCAAGGAAAGATAATGAGTTCCTTAACCAAGTCAAAATCCCAGAGGATATGTAATTACACAACTTTTCTGACAACAAATACATGTTTTTGAATTCAAATGCATAGAAAAGCATTACCTTAATTCCACTCTGTAATCGATTTACTTGACTGATTATTAACAATAATCAGTCTTTACCATTACCTCAATTCCACCAACAAATATCGATTCACTTAAAGCATAGAGAAGCATAGAGAGAAAGAGAGAGAGAGGGAGAGAGGTACCAGAGAGCTCCCATGGGGGTTCGAAGCAGAGGGAGAAAGAGAAGACAGCGGCGTCAATGTAGAATTTGAGGAAGCTGATGATGATGAAGGTGGCTGTGGTGGTGGAAACCCTAGCCTTCGGTGACCCAATCGAAGCACAATGTCGCGATTCACAATCGGAAACCCTACCTTGCGAGTGGGAGGATTGCGACTTGAAGACACTGAGAGAGAATGGGGGAGAGGGAGAGAAAGAGTGCGAGAGAGAAGAGTGATTTGGGAAGACAAAACGGCGTCGTTTTGTCCCTTAAATTATAGGTGACGAAATTATTTACGTCTCTAATATAGTGCCCAAATTTCCCACCAAAATTTCCAAGGGTGGAAATTTGTTTTGCGACGAAAAATAAAATTTAGAGATGAAAAAAAATTTCGTCACCTATTATTTTATTTATTGTAAGCATTTGGTGACGAAATTTTGTTTCGTCTCTACAATTAGTATCACTCATCTTACATGACATTACAAAACCTGGCAAGATAATCTATATGAGTACTATAAGAAACATTATCAAGCATCTCTAGATTAAAAATAATGAATATAACGAAGAAATAACCAAAAATTATACACATCATTCCCCTAAAATTCTGAGGGCAGGAAAGCTTTATACCATCTTGTAAAACTCTTCTGAGTTTGTTATCATTTCCTCGTGCATGTCCCAAGAGTCATATATGTTAAACCTACTATATGTGATTTAAAACAGTTACGCATATATAAGGTAAAAAATAAGCATAAAAAAATCAATTTTGTGAACCAAGTGGATCTAATTGGGCTGATCAAAATTTTGTGCCTTGTTAATTGCCTTGTTAAGAGTCATTCCTACATTTTGGAATCTACATCTGGATCATAAATAAGACTCTTGGGACATGTGGAATTTGTTGCCTAAAAATCTGGAAGTGTTGCCTAAAAATCAAAACCTCAATGCTAGTGTCAATAATGCCTTTTAAAACTTTGATTAGGATTAAGGCATGTGGAATTTGTTTGATTTAAGTAAGTGACATTCATTTAGGTCACCCTTAATGAATCTATCACATATTGAATTTGTTTGCCTATATTTCTAACAAAAAAATAAAATTCCAATTGGTCAAACTTTCCAGGGATTTCAAAAAGAAAATTCTCAAACAAATTGACTTTCTCATGTGATGCCAAAAAGATCTATAGTACAACAAGAGAATTGTAGTTTAGTGGAATATCCTATGTAGTTTGATACGGGGGAGATATGTTCTCACTTTCCAAAGTCATCCAACCACAACAACAGGTTTCACCAAACACACACGCAGAGGAGGGAGGGAGATGGATGATAGTTATGACAATTTTACACCCCACCAGTAGTCATTCCTGGCTTATTCCCACAACAATGCAAGTTGCAAACCATTTGCCATAGCTCAGTCAAGAAAAAGAATGTATTCCAGCACCAAACAAGTGACTAAATCTTACACTGACCACTGAGAATCTTAATGAAAACTCCTTTCATGTCAAGCTCCCTTCATGGGATCAATCAAAGGGAGAAACACATTCTGAATTAGGGAAGTATAAAATTTTCAGTTGCCTCACTAAACAGCTACATAACTTCTGCTGAAATAAAACTACAAAGCACATTATCTGATGAAAGAAACAAAGAAAACAAATAAAGAGACACCTAAAACAACAAATATGTTGCAAACTTGACCCAAGTTCAAACATAACTATTAAGCCAGAAGGTCAACAAAGGTTACCTCCATCCTTGACTGCAGTAACTGTCAATCCAGCACTAGTGCTTCCTAAACCAGTAGTAATAACTGATCTATTGCTCAATTTAGCAGCAAACTTCAAGAATTGAGACTTTCCAGTACCTGGTAGAGTTATAGAATTACAGAGAAGCTTTAATGCATCAGTTTTTGTACCATTTTAGCAGTTGAAACAAATTATGAAATAAAAATTTTAGATTGGTATTTATTCAAGACCAACACTAAAAAAACAACGCCCAATTAGTATGTTTAGGAGGGGAAAGATTGGGTACACACCTAACCTTTGGCATAGTGCACAAAGATTAGGTTACTTGTTTTCATCTAGATGTCTGTGAACAGAAAATAGCCTTTGCTCAAGTTAGTCATCCGATTTAAATATATATGTACTGTAGCCCAAAAGCAGACATAATTTTACAGTACTTTGCACAAGATAACTTAGCAGTATTACTCCCTCTAGCATATTGTACTTCTAATAAGTAATCATAATACCAAAACCAGGAGGTATTAAGAAAGTATTTCGGGTTCAATGTTCTAACTACAGGAATGCATATTAAAATTACAGGCTACAATTTTCAATCTAGCTCATGAAACAAAAATGACATATAATTGTGATATGAGACTAGTGTAAATGTATGGTAGTGTAAGATTAGTATTTAGAATCGTAGCAGCATCCTCAGTGCCATGCCAGGTCTAGTCAATCATGAATGGACTAGATCAACAAAATGTCATGATTGATTATAGGGTGGAGTGAGGATTTAATTTTTTAGTCCAGTTTTAATTATAGTAACGCCAAAACTAGAATAATTTCCAAAGGTTTAAGAGAGTTTATTAAGTGAAAACTTAATACTGAATTAAAATTTACAAAATCAAAGCAAAACTCTAGTCAGTCTAGAAGTGTAATCAAGTTTAAGGAAGCAATGACCATGGGTGGGGCAGTGTAGTTAATAATGATCGACTATATTCACGATTTCTTTGCTTTTGAATTGTTCAAATTTATGCCACAGGAAGCACGCAAGAATTTACTTATAAAATATGAAGTATATTATATATGAAAAGAAAAAGGTCACCTGGATCACCAACCAGAAGCAAATGAGACTCTCCTCGAACTTTCGTCCCAGAAGCATCAGCATGTTGCACACCTCCAATAAGTGTTAATGCAACTGGATTGATGGAAAATCATCACTAAATATAGTTATTTTTATGTCCAAAACTGAAGCACACAATGCAATGGCAACCTTAGAAGTTAAGTGAAAAGGGACAAATTAAAATGGGATGATAAAACACCTGCAAGCTTTACAGTGAAGAGTCCAAAAATCTGTGGGCATATACCTCGCAGAATGGCATTCCTCCCTGTGGTGACGTTGACGTGTTAGGCAAAACTAGAAAAGTAGAACAGCAACCTAAACAACTTGGTGCAGAAGCAAATAGAATCCAAACATAGATATATGTATGTGTATAAATATATATAACCAGAACTTCTTGAATTTTATAAGATGTTTTTACCTTTTAAAGGTGTATCTTTGAAATGGGAACATGAACCGTGTGATAGGAGAAAGCCGAGTGTATATGTACCTAGCACTCGCATGATCTTTGCCTCCCTTTTAAGATACAACAATACATGTAAGCATAGGAAACAAATTTAAAACAAAACAACTAACTCCAATATGTTTGTTTGAATTTGATTGAGTGATATTTTTCTTTCCTCACCTGATGACGAGTGCCAAATTGACCGTTTGGTTGAAGCAGGTTTAAGTTATTGCTGCCCACATAATCCTGTGCCATGCCAATGATGGTACTGGCAAGACTCTGCTCACCATGATGGTAAGCTGAATGCTCAGATACATAACCAGATAATTGAGCAACTTTTGCTTCCTTCACAAAGTTGTGCTTGAAAGAACAGAAAAGGATCTTCCTTTGACCTGGTTTCAGGCCATCAACCATTGAAGGAATTGACCAAGAAGATAGAACACTAATTGGCAGTATGATCTCTATCAATAACATGAATGAAGTACATTAACAAACAGACAATCCATAAAATCCAAGTAAATTGCTTTGAAACCTTTATCAACAATTGTTGATCTGACAAGCAAATCACTAGTAGCAAATAAAAAAACAAGAGCTGAGCCTATAAATTCACCATGAAAATAGATATAAGCCCACAACTGAAGGTACACAACGTAATCAAAATTTACCGATCAAATTAGTTTCAAACAATTTCTAAATACAAAAATCAGGACACACAAACATCAAAGTATAAATTAAATATCTGAAATACAAATTTCTCAATTATACAAGAAAAAAGACTGAAAGATGAAACCAATATTCACAAAATATTCTGAACTTGAACTTACATTTGAAACATCCCAAAGTAATAAAAGATAAATGCCAGATATTATTATTTTATTTTTTTTGGATAAATATAAATGCCAGACATTCTAAAAAGATTTAGCAACAAAAGTTTTAAAAAAATTACCAAAACACAAACCAGATTTTCACAACAATCACACATCACAAGATTCAGAACCAATTGTCATTATTGTCAGATCATATTCACCTATGGGCTTGTTTGATTGGGTGGATTATAACATAAGACTCTAATTATTAATCCATGGGATTCACATTCCATTGTAAGGTTGCAAATGTTATTATTCAGATTACATTCCAATGACCTATCAAACAAAGATAGATTTTTTAATCCTACAACTAGTCACGCAAAACACACATAATTGGGATTATACATTTTCATATCTATTGCAAAACAAACATTGACGAGAAAATTATGTGTCTCACTAATCGAACTATATAACTAATCATACACTAATCTCATGATTGTTAATCCACTTACTATTAATCCTCTTAATCAAATAGGCCCTATATGTATTCATCAACTATCTACAACACAAACACATCAAAAAAAACATTTAAATGGCAAGAAATATCAAGAAACACAAAAGCAATAAAAACCCAAAATCCATATATACTAAATTAACAATACTAAACCTTGTTTTTAACACCAGACGACACGGCAGCTCCGCCTTCGTTCATTTCAGCCTCCTGCTTGGCATCAACCTTGAGATCCACAACAATGGTCTTGCTCTCCAAATCTCAAATCTTAATGCTCGCCTCAGTAGCAGCACAGAGCCAGTACCTATTAGGGCTACAGCACAGAGCATTAATAACCGAACCCGAATCGAGCGAGTAAAGCTTCTTTCCCTCAGCCAGATCCCACAACAAAATAACCCCATCTTTCCTACCACTCGCACACAGCGACCCATTGGGCGATATAGCCACCGTATTCACACACCCAGAATGCCCAGCAAGCAAAGCCCTAATCTTACAATTCTAAAAATTCCAAATCTTCACAGTTCGATCCCAAGACGAAGACACAATCGTAGGCTGAAGATTATTAGGGCTAAATTGAACACAACTGACCCAATCGGAATGAGCATCACCATCCTGAATCGTGTACTTACACTCACCCAAAGTGCTCCACAGCTTGATCGAGCGGTCTCGGGAAGCAGAGACGATTTGGCGATTATCGAAAGAGAAAGCGACGGAGAGGACATCTTTGGAGTGGCCAACGAAGTGGCGAGCAGTGATGCCAGTGGAGAGGTCCCAGAGGCGGAGAGTGGGCACCGATTGAGAGGAAGAACACAGAGAGGGAGAGGGCGGACCGAGAAACAAAAAGAGAGGACACCGATTTGATTTTATTTATTTATTTATTTTTTTTGATTTCATGGTACAAAACGACGTAGTTTTAAAATTAGCGACTAAATTTATTTGTCGCCAAACAATTTCAATTCCCGCCCCACTAAAAATCAAATTTCCCTCCCAAACTTTTGGCGACCAAAAGACCATATTAGTCGCAGAAAAGGTACCTTCGCCGACAAACTTTTTTAGTCGCCAAATTTCAATCAATGGTGACTAAAATATTAGTCGCTAAAAGTACTAATTTGGCGACAAATTTTTTTTGGTTGCTGAAAATAAGTTTTTTGCGACCAAATTTTTGGTCGCCAAAAAATATGTGACCTTCTGCGACCAAATTTGTAGTTGATCGGCAAAAGTATACCACTTTTTGCGACCAACTCATTTTTTGGTCGCCAAAATATAACCTTCTGCGACCAATAATATTTGGTCGCCAAAAATAATGATAATTCGCGACCAATTAATATTTGGTCGCCAAATGTCATTTTTTAGCGACCAAATTTTTTTTGGTCGGCAAAAGTGGTCGACAAATGTGTAAATTCTTATAGTGAATCAACAATTGGACTAGAGAGTCCAATTTATGAGATTTGGGCCCACTTCAAGCTTATCTTGTTGATTTAAATTACTCATTTTTTAGAGTTGCCAAGTCAATGAACATGTGATAATTAAATTGATTCGATATTAGTGGTTGCATTATTGAATTAAATTTGTCTAAAAAATAGATAATGTAACGACCCGGACATGCATTTGCTTAATTATTCCCCCGATTGCATTGTTATGTGCTAATTAATATGTGTTTGATGAGAAATTGCATGTGAAATAGAAAGATTTATATTTATATCTGTTGATTTTAGAAAAATCTGTTTCAATTACAACTTTAAATTGAAAGTTGAAGGTCTTAGAGGCACCAGAAATCAAAACTGATTAAATATTTGTGATCAGCATAATTTTTAGAGCCTAATATGAAGTTTTATAAAAATCTGATTCAGAATGAATTAATTGGATTTAATTTATATATATGTATAAGAACTTTAGTTGAGCCTTAGACTCAACAAATAAAAGTCTAAGAGAGAGAGAGAGAGAGAGAGAGAGAGAGAGAGAGAGAGAGAGACTTCCAGAGACTAAGAGAAGAAAGAAGAAAAGAAGTGAAAGAAGAAGAACAAAGGGGGAATTAAGCCAAATCTTCATCAAATCAACCATCTAAGGTGGAAATTTTCTTCTAATTTCTTGAATCTAAGTTGAATCAAAGAACTGAGTGGTGTAAATTGTTGTTTAGAACTCACATGAGTTTAAAGAGAGAAATTGTAAAACATAGTTTAAGATTTGGCATACATGGCATCCTTCTTGTTCAATTATTTGTTTTCTAGCATAAGTTTTCAAATGGAAAGGTAACTCCATGAGGGTTGATGTTTTGAAACTCAAAAATACAAGTTTTGTGGGTTTACATTTCAATTCAAGGGTTTGATTTGTTCTACATGGAAATTTAGTTTGATTTGAAATTATGGTTTTGTTTGAAGTTAGAAATTGTTTATTCGACATGTTTTTATGAGTTTTGGGCTTTGATTTTCATCACATATTGACATTGGATTTGTGCACAGGGAAGTTCCAAGTTAAGTTGAATTTTTGAACTGGTTTTCAGCCAGACTGCTCGAGCGGCCTGAGCCATCGCATGAGGGGCCAAGCTTATTTTGGCTCAAAATATGTACTGTTTAACCACCGCTCGTGCAACCATGGCCACCGCACGAGCGGCTAGGCCGCCGCATATGCGGCCTGCAGGGCAATTTTTCCAGTTTCTTTTTCTTTTCGTTTTTTGAGTTCCGAGCCTTCATTTACATGGTTTTCATGTGTAATTCACATCTATATGCATATCATAAGCATCAAAGAGATTAAAGAAAGAATATGAATAACCAAACGAATAAGTAATGAATGAAACGAAGACATGTAATTTTGAGATATTGTGCTTGGTTATATGTCTGCAGGTTGAGATTGGTTATGTGTCTACATGGCATCCTTCTTATTCAATCATTTGTTTTCTTGCATAAGTTTTCAAATGGAAAGGAAACTCTATGGGGGTTGAGGTTTTGAAACTCAAGAATGCAAGTTTTGTGGGTTTACATTTCATTTCAAGGGTTTGATTTGTTCTACATGAAAATTTAGTTTGATTTGAAATTATGGTTTTGTTTGAAGTTAGAAATTCTTTATTCAACATGTTTTTATGAGTTTTGGGTCTTAATTTTCATCACATTGACATTGGATTTATGCAAAGGGAAGTTCCAAGTTGAGCAAAATTTTCGAACTGGTTTTCACCCAGACCGCTCGAGCGGCCTAGGCTACCACACGAGCGGCCAAGCTTATTTTGGCTCAAAATACATACTGCTTAACCACCGTATGTGTGGCCTATAGGGCAGTTTTTCCGGTTTCATTTTCTTTTCGTTTTCTGACTTTCGGACCTTCATTTACATGATTTTCACATGTAATTCACATCCATATGCATATCATAAGCATGAAAGATATTAAAGAAAGAATAGGAATAACCGAACGAATAAGTAATGAACGAAACGAATGACATGTAATTTTGAAATGTTGTGCTTGGTTATATGTCTGCAGGTTGAACTGTTGAGGTGTATCACTGACCAAGCACTGTGAGTAACATTTCTGTAAAGATATGTTCATATAGAATATATTTGACATGCTAGCTATTTGATATGTTATGTTTTCTGAAATGTTATTTTGTGAAAGTGAACAAATGTCCGATTTTGAATCTATTATGGCATCTACAGATAGTCCCAAGTCATGGGGTGGTATATGACATATGACTATTT